CGAGAAGATGGGTATACGCTGTTTGATCGATGAAAAGAGCCTAGAAGACTTCGATTTCGCCGATCATGATTTATGTCTAATGTTGCACAAGCTCGAAGATCTACATGCGAAAACTAACAAGTTGGCAAAAGAGGCGAGGCAGCGAAGACAGAACCTCCTCCAGGTGAACGTAGAGGAGACAGAGGTGGTGAAGATACACAACCAACAACAACAAGCACCAATCACCATTGACGGAAGAAATCTAAAGGAAGTTATATCTCTCACCTGTTTGGGCTGGGCAGCATCGTTCCAACTACAGGCGGCCCCACAGATGAGGATGTCAAAGTCAGGATCGGAAGAGCAAGACAGGGCCTTCATTAACCTGAAATCAGTGTGGAGATGTGCACTGCACTCAACTGAGCACAAAGAACAACATTGGAATTTTCAACACTAATTCAGTCAAGTCAGTTCTTCTATATGGTTGAGAGACTTGGTGCGTTGCGAAAAGCATTTCCAACAAACTACAGACATACATCAACAGCTACCGCCTGCGCTCAATACTGAAGATCAGGTGGCCAGAATAATAGGAATAAGCAACAAGGAACTCACTCTGGCTGGCAACGAACCAACCAAGAAACTGTCGCCCAACAAATATGCAGAAGAAAGTGAAGATGGATTGGATTGGGTTGGACTCACACTGAGAAGACCATTTAAGAACATCACGCGCCAGGCAAGACCCTCGAGTGGGGAGCCAAATGGGAAACGACGAGTTGGGTGTCCGAGGCGAGGGTGACATGGAGGAGATCGTGTGAAGAAGAAATGAAAGCTTGTGTGCAGTCGTTGAGGCAGGTTAAAAAGACTGAAGAGAACATAGTGAAATGTCGTCATACTACTGAAGCCCTATGTTCCACTAGGAACCCAAGAACAAATAATAAATATAAATAATGTGTAAATGGTTACTTACTCAGTTTTTGTTTTCCTGTTATTCAATGATGCGTTTTTGATTAATATGATGTCACATGTTTTTGATTCAGTATAATGCCAATTCAAGAATGGACACTGATAACCAAGGATTTCTTGATTAGCCTTAGTCGTGATTGGTTGCTACGGGTTTGTCATCAAAAAACTATTAGTTCGAATCTAACTATAACCTAGGTCCACCTCAAAAATCTGTTATCATCCCTTTATAATGAGTTCGGTTCAGCAGCGAAGCTTATCTCATCAATAGTTATTTTGTTGTCTTTGGTGAAGTCCTACTATGTCAGTGATAAACACTAGTTGGAATCATGCATCTTTTTTTAACTACCTTCTCACTACATATATATCAGTCGGAAAAATAGTAGTACTGACATAATGATAATGAATTCATCATCAAGATCAACATAGGACCGTATATTACTGCGTGACGTTTCAAGTTGCCCCACATCATATCAGCACATCAAGTAAAAAATTAATAACATGGAAAAGCATTTCCAACAAACTACAGACATACATCAACAGCTACCGCCTGCGCTCAATACTGAAGATCAGGTGGCCAGAATAATAGGAATAAGCAACAAGGAACTCACTCTGGCTGGCAACGAACCAACCAAGAAACTGTCGCCCAACAAATATGCAGAAGAAAGTGAAGATGGATTGGATTGGGTTGGACTCACACTGAGAAGACCATTTAAGAACATCACGCGCCAGGCAAGACCCTCGAGTGGGGAGCCAAATGGGAAACGACGAGTTGGGTGTCCGAGGCAAGGGTGACATGCAGGAGATTGTGTGAAGAAGAAATGAAAGCTTGTGTGCAGTCGTTGAGGCAGGTTAAAAAGACTGAAGAGAACATAGTGAAATGTCGTCATACTACTGAATCCACATGTTCGTTTAGGAATCTAAGGGACAAGCAATAATGTAGTAAATTTTCAAGTACCCTTATCGCTTTAAGCGATCTACTTAGTTCACACTTTTGTTATTTTTTTTGTAGAAATCTTGTAGTCTTTATCTGGTGCATCACAAGCTGATTTCACACACTAAATCTAGATGTTTAACTGCCTAAGTGGAGGTATGTTGCCTATAAGTGTTGCTTAACGCGATGTGGCTGAACTAGAAGTGTGTGCAATGTCCTAAAGGTTTGAGAGTAAGCTGAGAATATTCGATCACTGTTGATTTCACCAGCCTAACATAACAGTGTGTGAAATCAATGATGACCAGCCAGCAGACATTATAGGGGGGGGGGAGAGCTGGATTGAAACCACCGTTGTCTGCAGGGGTAATTTCTTTAGACGGTTTTCGGTTCTCTCGTTTGTGATGAAGTGTGAAAACAAGCCGAACAGTAAGAGGACAAGGCGATCAAGAACATCAGACTTTCGTGTGAGCCTACTTGTCACTCCAATCCGCTTGGCAACGCCATGTTATATTCCTGAATACTTGAAGCGATAACACTCGTCAGGCAACACCACAACCATTAGTGTCCCATGGCTATGCAAAGTGAGTTAGCCACTTTGGCATAAGACACGAATGACCACCGTGCCAATATTACTTATTTATTTATTGCTACATTTGTTATGCCACACTAGTCTTTTAAACTTGTGAGCATGGCCGGTTCCACATTTCCTCCTTCTCTCTGTTCTTCCGCAAGTTTTTCCCGTTCGATTTCCTTTTCACCACTCCTCTGTGAATATTTCAGAGTGCCTCCATAAACTGGCTTTTAAGCGCGTGTTTAAGGGTATTTTGCCACCCAAATACAACAGCCACCTTATTTAAACAACAACCTACATGTGTTGTGATTGATGCCTGTGGTACTATTTAATATTCTGATTTTGGGTTACATCTGCCACTTCATTGCTGCTGCCATGACATTGGATGAAAACGTTAAACTGAGTAGGTTGTGACGAATGAGGCCAAAAAATTACCTCAGAAACAGTATCAAACTTAAGATGAAAGCCATCAAAAATCAAGTGAATTGCATGGAAACTGCATTAGCGGTTAACCGGCAGTTGTTAATAGTTCAAAATGAGCAGGTGAGAACATGCATCTTCGGAATAAGAGCTCTATAGGATTCTACCCAAACCTGTAAAAATTGAAGATAACCTCTATTCTGAACTCGAAAGCTGTCTGCACCTTAAACTTACATGAAACATAGGACTTGGTTCTAGATTCTTCTGCAGAATCGGTTGAGTTCGTTTTCGCTTGTCGCTACTTTCAGTTTTATCTTCTGTATTTACACTTGTCTGGCACCCCGGAAGGTATGCTAATCATGAATAAAGTGACACATATGGTGACATAAAATCACTCAGTCAAAAAAGCTTAAGAAGACGTCTAAACTAACAGCAAGCAAAAAAGCCTCGCAGCTTCCTTAGTCCTCCATATAAAACACTAGGACATGTCGCCCGTTTGCTCTTCATCAGAAGCCTACCGGTCTCCCGATATCCTTTTAGGATTTGTTCTGGCTCGAACTTGACAGACGCAAAGACCAATCACTAATTATTCGGACTTCTTATATACCCACGAATACGAGACCAAGGAAGAACATGATGGCGTAGTCGGATGGAATAGTATATTCGGATGGTCGTGCCAAAATACCGATGCGTTCCAACTAACTGGCTAGGGAGTCGAATACGAGCAGTGCAACGTAATACGACAGCGTGCCAAATGGTGAGGATGCTTGACCGGGTGACTTCAGCTTAGCAAGTCCAGTTAAACTATCAAGGTCAGCATCAATGTCGAAAGTCGTTAAACCCTAGGCTATTGATTTTGGGGAAGTGTGTGACGCTACAGATCACCCCCCCTCGTGTGTTCGTGGGGACCCTGAGATGATACCAGCCGGAAGTAAAAACCCAGTGGTTTCTCCACCGGTAAAACTCTTCCGATGGGCTCACTGCTTGAAGTGGCCCTTGGTTGTCTGAACTTATTCTAGGGTGTCGTGGCAATTAAAAAATAAAATACAATAAATCGAATTGTACGTCAATCGCGGTCCTCAGTTCGTTTTGACGTTCCGTCCAGTGCTCTTGCACCTGGAATATAAATAAAAGTCTTTAATATCATGAAAACGTTTCGTAAAAATGGGAATTATTTATATATAAACATATCGAAAAATAGAAATTTACGTTTACTTTCACCTTTTTTTAAAAGTTTCGTTACATTGTAATAAAAATTGATATAAAAAAGGCATAGTGTACGAGGGTTTGCGCATTGCCGGTAAATAAGAAAAATAGTGCCTCAGAAGATAACCCGAAGGTGAAAAAATGGTTGGCACATTTTATTTCACACCGCTAAGCTGAGTACGACTTCAAATACTCCGGGAGCCTGACGGTTCTACCTGATCGTGTTTTCTGTTGCGCCGATGGTTGTTGCGACCGTACATTGCCAGGCACATCGTCAAGAATTTCGATAGTTGAGCTATCCGTCGGTCGGCTGCAGAAGGCAGAGTCGTCACTTTTAATGGGGTCGCCTTCGAAATAGGCTGGTTTCAAACGGTCTATACTGACAGTATCTTCACGTCCGTCTCGCTCGATTATGTAGAATTTCTCATGTCGCTTGATCACTTTGAATGGCCCATCGTAGGGTGGTACAAGTGGTCGACGAACATCAATTCGAACTTCTCACCAAGAGGTTGGGTACCAGGTGGCATTTAATCTCTGCCGCCTATAAATAGGTGATCTACGAATAACATCAGAAAATTGAATGCCTTCCTTACGTTGTACTTCAGTTTATTGTGGGTAAACTGTTGGCGATTGAAGATGGCTATCTGCCAACAGATGAACACAATCTGGAGGATGAAAGGCGCAGGACATCTGCTACGAGGTGAAGAAAATAAGGAAATCAAGGTGCACTTACATTCAGATACGTTTTAGTCCTGAAATTGGTGGTCAGCATGGAGAAATACCTGTGCATGACATAAAAAATGTCACATATACCTACAAACTAAAAGCTCAGTCACATGGTTAGATATGCACCCCCAATAACGAGTGAAGATTATGAGTTCAATTTCTTCCTGATAGCTTTTGTTTTGCAGAAAGAAAAAGTTATGCTACGATCAATAATCCGATAGTTGTAGCGCGCTTGTGAATTTGAGTTCTCAGCGTGTATTAATTGTTAGGTGGGTTGCATGTGTTGTGTCGGAGACGACATCTATATATTCCTGATATTATCCCCTTATTTACTTTTAGTTCATTGGTCCAACAAGTTTAAGCAATAAATTACTTGAGTAACAACGAAATTATCTTTGATCTTTTTAAAACCAGTGTATAATACTTATTCTCAGATTTCTAACAGTGGGTTAATGTAAAGAAAGTCAACGTATGTTGAGAGTCACTTGTTCTTGGTTTATAACCGAAGCATTTCAGACATTTTAAGTTTGGTCAGCACCAACAACTAGATATAACTGAAACCGGGCCGGAAACTGATGAGCTTGAGTTAAAATGTGTTTGTACATTTTATAAGTGGTAGGGGATTAGTGCTAACTTATGAAACTCTTAGCAAGATTTGAGTGCGTTAGAATGCTGAAAGTATATAGTCCCGATACTAATGTGGATTTGAAAAACTATGGATGCCTTATAACCCCTGGAGCATGTATTTTGTTTCAGGTTACTTAGAATAGCGATTTCTTGGATAAAGAAGCTTTGTCGTCTGCTAGGTTTACTTGTTTTGAATAATTTCTATTCCGTTAGTGCATTTTATCGACTATAAAGAGGGAACTGTTATGTCAAGTAAAAGGAAGGCCGCTTCAAAAGATGAATCAACCGACTCCTCTCTCTCAGATCTTGAAGAGGTAATCCTGAAAATACTTTTGTGACACTTTCAGCCTGTTGAAGCCAAAAAGCCTAACAAAACGGGTGGTTCTGCGAAATCTTCACGAACGATTGCATCAGGAGGAGAGCGTTTGACTGATTTAACAGGGAAGAAGTTCGCGTGCGTTAGAGAATTCAGAGGCAAAGTATTCGTTGACATAAGAGAATACTATGAAGACAAATCCAGTGGGGAGTTGAAGCCCGGGAAAAAGGGTAAGCACACATGTATTTCATGACTTCAAACATTTTGTCTTGTTTCCTGTCAGTCGGAGTGTACATAGAGGTGGCAGAAGGAGGGTGATTAGCAGTGGTTCGAGATTTGTAGTCCTTTAAACAACATGCCTTTACTTTTTATTTGCTTGGCTGTAGATCGGATTTCGACCGGCTCACCCCAAATACGAGGGCCCAAACAACCACTTGTTATCAGTGAAGCCAACAGCCAAATGAGCGGACATGTCAAGTTTGATACTATTTCGGTATTTGGACTGCCCACAGACATCAGAGGCCTCTGTTGTACACTGACTCGTTATGAATCTACATCCAGTTGCCAAGTCCCTTAATTTAAGGGTATGCAGGTCTTGAGATGAAATATTTAGATTTTCCGTATGAGGTGGTAATATAATAGTTGTCCTCTGCAGTGGACAAAATATGGTGGTTTTTACGACATGCCAATCCATCTGCATCGTGTCTTACTACACTTGGTCGATGTAATAACTTGATCATTGTACCTGTGGTTCTTGGCGTCAATAATTCTCTTTTGAACAGTCGAAAAAAGTGGATATTTCGCTCGTAGGTTTCGCCCCCAGTATGTAGCACTGGTCTATTTGGACCCAAAAGTGTCAAAATATTGGCAGTTATCAATGGATGTAGTCTTTTCTTGTTTGGTATCACTGTTCTAATCCGTCGAGATTATGACAGGTGTTGTCTAGGCTGTACGTTCTTGTCTCGGCATATTGATGGCACTAGATGCATCGGCTATATTGCACTGAGTGACATAATATGAAAGTCACAAGCTGATAATGACAGGTATTTCGAACTCCCTAAGTTCTCAACGATAGATTGAACTTAACAGCGAAAGTGTGACTTCCAAACGATACCCACTTAAAAGACTGGCTTCCTACTCCATAACGTAGCTCCATCCATTTACGAGTAACTTCATAAGTATTAGGGATATAATTAAATGACAAGTTGTAACGACCCATTGCGGTGTTCATGTGAGGTGTACTTTGGACTCATACTTTCACTACGCCTACCAAGCTGTAAAGTGCAACGCATTCGTAAACCGGGTTGCTAGGGGTTTGGTTATCGAATTTCACCCTTTTAACCCAGAGTTAGTTTGTCAGTTAGTGTCTATTCAAGGAATTTCACACAATACTCCGTCTTTTTGAATCGTTAATAAGTCCAAATGCGAAATTGAGTAAGCATATGGGCATGTTCCTAACAGGGCAACTAAGTTAAAGCAAAACAACGGGACAAGATTGACGGTGAGATGAGCTTCGCATTTCTCCGAAGGCTCTGTGGCTGGTTAATTTTCATCTTTTCACATAATTTCTGACCTGTTGTTGAAATATTTTAATCTGGTTGCATAGCTGTAAAAGTGTTTGCGGTGTCCATAAGGTGCTAACCTAACCGTATTCTCACTACCCAGTGTGCTTGCCTAGAGCAAGGCGGGAAACTATTTCTGCTATGATCTCGCCCGGCTTCGCGGAGTAAGCAAATAGTAGGGCTAAGACTCTTGTCACCTTAAAGCAGCATCTTTGTATAATATCCTTCCCAGAAAATTCACCCGAACAGCCAAACAGTGACAGTAACCACTTATGGTGTCACTGGTATCTAACAGACATGTTAGTTTTGAGTGTCAAGGAGGTGCCGGTCCAGTTGGAGTAGGTTTTCGTATCGCTGCAATATCCACGCTCGACCAAAATATCAAAAGCGCGTGATTGACGAATTCCATAAACAGGAGATCAGTGGCACGGATGTTTCCGCCCATCAGGATTGCGCCCAGTGCCCTGGGAGCAGTGTGACTGAATAGCAAGGTAGATCTAGCTTCCTGATTCGCGTAGTCATTATTATTGAAGAAATGCTAAGGGTTGGGTGTAGTTTACTGTGCAAAAGTCGCCGATATTTTCCCTGAAATGTGATGTTTTTAGGCATTGATCATTTTGAGTTAGCGTTAACAATGTATTGGCAGGGGCGTTCTCCTTCATGTTAATGTGCCGCTTGTATGTTTCGTGTTTGGCGAAAGGGTGGATTCACAGGTATGTGCACAAATCTGATGACCTGGAACTTGGTGGTGAACCGACAATTGAAGGGGAATCTCAGATATCAGAGCGCTTAGACACTACGGTGTGCTTTAAAAAAATTTGCATAAGTAGTCAGACCACTTAAAATGATTAATGTTAAAAAAGGACAATTCTGAAAGGCAGAATATATGCTAAAGTTTGTCAATTATATGAGTCCCGATCCATCCAATATAAAAGCCAGATACTTTCACAAAGTTATATGCGATTTACATGAATGAAACTTGTCCTAAACGGTGCGATCGTAGTCCACGATTCTTCCGAGCACCAGTAAATAGACGGAAAAATCAACGTGCAACATAACTCAAAAGGACATAAGTTTAAGTTGCCACACATTCATATGCAAAAAAGTAGATATTGAATGGTATTTAAATCGATAGTGTGTGAAGAGGATGAATAGATGAAGTATGACGAGAATACACAAGACATATATATATATATATATATATATATATATATATATATATATATATATATATATATATATATATATATATATATTATATACGATCTTCGGTAGTAATTTTATCTTGGTTTAGATACCCAGGGTGTACCAACTGTTTAAGTAAGAAGAGCATAAGAGTCGTACTGATCTCAATCTGCTGTTATCTCTAAACAACTTTTCTATGCTATGGTTTATCAAAATCGTACTCTAGATTGCATCTGGATAGTCCACATTAATCAAAATTAGAATATTGTTCCGTGGACGTTTTTTTTCACGTGACACACCCGATTCGTGTCTGCTAATCCATTCGGTTTCACCTAGTGAGTCTGATGACTCACTCTCCTAGGATTTCCACCTTTTTGTAAGTGTAATCCCTAGTTAGCATTTCTTCTGGTTTTCATTGACCTGTACACTGATCACTTTGACGAAACCGCAGACACTCAAAAAGATTTCGGTTTTTAAAAATCTCCGACAAACTGTGTCCTCATTCGTTCTGAAGTTGTAATAGATCAGGATAAGTAAGTAGAGTAACGGTGCAGAATGAGGTTTACAAATGAATAACTTTTTCCAGTTAGTCTTTCACAAGATTAGTGCGAAGGTTAGGAGATTCATTCTTGTGGGCATTTTGCTTGCGGTTCAAGACTTTTTGAATCATGTGGATGACTAAAGTGATAGAAAAGATAAAAACTTCTCGACAGGGGCCTGTTCATTTTTACTCGCATATATTTTAGTTGAAGTTTATGCTGTTTATTTTAACTTTCTCCAGGGATTTCACTAAACTGTGAACAGTGGGAGTATTTGAAGAGTTCCATTGCTGAAATAGATGATGATGTGAGAAATCTACGAAGATAGCTCATTATTATTGCGGAACACTTTTTTTGCTGTCCAGCAAAGATATTTTCGTTATTTTCAGTATCAGTGAAATTAAGAACTGCTCTGTAAAAGTTTGTTGCAATTTATTCCCAGTTTCATAAACATAAAAATTGCAAATCACAGCTTTTTCATATCATCCGTGGCGCGTTAGTCTACATTCGTACAAGGCAGTTGGATAACAGACATCAATAAAATCATCGCATTTCGTTGCAATATTATGTGCCTATCGTGCTACTGAAGACTTCGCGATCAGATGTTTTGACGATCAGATAATAGATTGTCACATGGAAGACACTAAACTGTTTCGACTTCGTCGCCTGAAACTCGAAAATCCTGTAATTGAGCGTCTCTAACCATTAAAACTTTCTTTTTCTTCGATTCTTAATTAAATGGAGGAACAGCGATGAGAAGAGTAACCTACAATATATTTCAATAAGTGTGTAGATCTCTCCAGCTTCACTTGCTAAGCGATATCTCGTTCCTTCGGGTTCTAACTATGATGGCGAGCGGAGGTGGCTAACACGCCAACTGGTTTAGTTTTTATAATGACCACCTGCATTGATTATTGAGGAAGTGCACAAGATAGAAAAACACTAGTATTAGGAAGTATAAGCTCTTCATTTTTTAAAAGAGGATGGTGCGAAGAAGAGTAACTGATGGTTTGCCACTGTTAGTGGGAAATTGGCGATTCTAGCAGTTTTTAACTTCAAATGCAGACATGGACACCAAGGGATATTTCATACAAAGCAAAATACCAGCACTGAGATAATAGGAGAAATAGAACTTTGCTACCACCGGTTTCGAATCTGAGCCATGTTTGCCATCGTCTGGTGCTGGAGTTGAACTAAAGGTAATCTCTCGAACCCCTTGTAGGTGCTTAGCTAATGAAAGTATTCTTTACCACACGGTGTTAAGTCATACACTGACCACCTGTATTTCTTTAGATTAGTCCTAGTGCAGGTGAACTGATGTATCAATTAGAGTATGGAAAATCGAAGATAGTAACAGGCTGATCGTTGCTCATTCCAGAGAAATCAAGATGAATAAAGTAGTGTCTAGGCCGAGTTGTCCGATACTTAACTAAAGCTTGAGAACACTGAACTCAGGGAAACCAGACAGATTTCAGACCTGGACGAGGATGCATCGACCACATCTTCGACAGGCACTGGAGGCTTGCCACGTTTACTGACTTCTTAGGTGGTATTCATTCTGATCAGTCGGGTTCTGAATGGATTACCGGTCAGTGTTTATGCTAACCAAGATTATTTCCAGCTCACTACCGTGCTAAGACTTGAAGAGATTCGTCATCTGTAGTAATGACAAAAATTCTTCGGCGAAGGCTGTCCTCTGTCACTGTTCCTACTTAACTGTATTGGAGATGCGACTCTTCCAAGTTCTCATGCATTAATGACGCCTGAAAGGCACTTCGCTGACTTGGAGTTAGCAGACAACATGAACTTGTTAAATGAAAGTGCTGGAAAAAAGCAGGATTTTCTGAATACAGGAAAAATTTGAGTATGTTTCAAGACAGATATGTACTGAAGCTTAGTATACCAGAGTGAAATCATGGCCACTTCACTCACTTAGGATGACATCAGTGAGGCAGTTGCTTAAGACACAAAACCAAGGTAGAACCTCGCACGGAAGTGCACCGATTCAAGTTGCCACACCACAGTATCATGTGAAAAAGTGTATAGAAAAAGACATATCAAAAAAGCCAAAGTTCTGTGAGTAAATCGTTAATTTGAAGACGAAGGTTAGTACAAATATCCAAGCATTAGAAGACATTAAAAAGTGAATGCAGCTGCACCATTGTAAACAGTTTTCATTCATGCCACCAATGGTCTCTATCCACTTATTCTTATGGTCTCGGAGGCCCCGATCAGGCAGTCTACGGCTCAAACCAACAGTCAGGCATTTTATCAACTGCCGTGACGTCTTAATCTGACCACTTCTAACTTTTACCAGAATTGCACGTTGAGTTAGACGGTGGCTAGGCGTGTGGAAAACAAGACCGAGCCACCTAAGTCGCTGAAGATTCATCTCATCGGCCAACTTACCTAGTAACATCCGCCTAGCCTGGCTACTACTGACATGGAGATTCGTAATACATGGACAATGCCACGAAGACACGTGGTCGAAAGCCTGTAACTCCTGTCTTCTACTTCTAACGGCCATTTCTCACAGATGTATAACAGGACAGAATAGACTGCAGCGCAATATACTCGTACTTTGATGTAGATAATCGGTTATCTCCACAGCCGGCACCAGAGATGATGCAAGTTGAGAAATGCCTTCTGCCTCTGGGGTGGGATTTCGTCAGCAACCAGTCCGTTGGGGCTGACGCAAGTAAGTGGAGTGGTCGACGCATTCAACCACTTCATTGGCTATCATTAAACTGGGAATAGTTGCAGACCAGTCCTGGAGTATCATCTTGCTGAAGAGACTTTAGCTCGGATACAAGAGGCCTATCCGGGATTTACCAAGACGTCCGGCTAACCATCAAAGGACGAGTATCCAACAAGCAGTTCGTTCTGCCATATTGTTCAGCTGTAAAATGAGCGAAAATCTGAAAAGGTTACAGGTTTCTAGACCAAAGTCATTTATCCCTGCAGCATTACCCATATGTGCAATACTGGAAAGGACTTAAGCGAGGTAGTTTATGTCATGAACCTCCAACGACGGAGGTGGTTTGATCATATATTGCGTAGGCTGAGTCACTGCCTACCTTGGAACACAAATTTTAATTTAACTATTGATGCGATCATGGGCAGTGATTCGGGTTGAATTATCTCAGGAACTAAAAACTAATCTTTGGATGTAACTCTACTTACTACAAATTTACTTTAAATAAATACTAATTCGCGGACAGTCCATCCATTTTTATAGCACAAACATTGTCCGCCTATTTTTGGGTCTGTTTTCGACCTATAATTGTCCATATTGCAAGGTAAAGAGAACATGTGCAGCCGTCTACCTAGACCATGAGGAAACAAAGGAAGAGTGATTCAGTCGGGATACAAACCGAGAATATACAAGACTGTGGCATAGCACGACGGGATCGGTGCCGGGATGAACGAGTTGATGCTAAATCCTAAACGTATATACCACGGAATAATAGAAAATAGGCTCTAAGTCCTCTGGCCAATTAATTAGCAACAACATGATGCAGCCTAATGACCAGTATCAGTGACCGAGCCCCACTTTTCATCTATGCATATATGCTACTATTTAGAACTTTACTTATACAGGGAGAAATTTTTTTTCTAAAAAAAGGCCAAAAAACGACTCAGTGTGAGTACTGAGGAAACCGATGGATTAAATCGAGACAAAAGCCACTGTATAAAAACCTAACATACAGATAAATATAAGTAATCCGGTGAGCACACTGTACACAGACAAATAAAATACAATAGTGATAATTTTGTCTTCCATAAAATTAAAATAGTCCGACTGGAACTGATTTACACAGGATTTGTCTGCAGCTTTGAAAAAGAAGAAAGACTTTACACATGCGTGATCACAATGTTCAGGAGTAAACTTTAGCAGGATTCCCTTCATAAGAAAGATTTATGTGGGTGAAGTGTCTACAACAAATATATTAACAGCAAATGTGAAACTAAATATGTGTCCACAAGGAATGCCTCATATTCAAAGGTCGATAGTACGAGCATAAAACAGACCACAAAAGATAAGAGGGGGGAGGCAATAAACATCAAATTAACGGGAACTGAAATGTCCAGTGAAAAGTGGAGCAGAATTGTGCAATCAGTGTTATGTATTTAGTCCTGATTGCACAGATTAATTAGCTAGTTTGCAGACCGACAACTACAACACAAACGCATCTATTCCACATTGGAACAACCTTTACCAGACAAAGAGTAACTACAGTTGGGTGCCGTTGAGGTAAAGAGATTGAATGCCCGGAGCTTCAGAAAATCATGCATCTTTGTTCAGAACAAACAAGAGTTCAGGTTTTGTTAGACCAAGATCAAGGAATGATGGTGGGTCACTATCTGTTTTAGGTCGCCAGTCTGTAACTACTTGAACACAATCCATTTTGTTGTCGGAATTATCTACATAATCTTCGATGTCAGATTCTTCGGAAGGTTGACATGGGAGAACACGTTTAGGAAAATTGGATTGAATCTCAAACTCCAGTGGTGCATCTTCTTGGGATAATACAAAATAGTACAGCATCTGAAAGGAAGAAATGAAAGACAATTTAAGCCCGTGCCAAAACGAATTGACAAGACGATCATCGATATTACTAGTCTAATTAACATTACCTTGGTAGAATCATTTACATCAAAAACACGAGAAACTCTGGAACCTTGTGGCATCTTGAATGATAACTGTACACTGGATCCCTCTTGAAACATAGGTTGTGGAGGTAGTCGGCGCTGCCACACAAGTTTACGCTTGTGGTGAGCGTTATGTAGATCCTCTTTGCGTTTCGCCTCCCTGGCCTGTTGCTCTGCTTCCAAGGCAGCATTTCGTTGCTGTGCTTCTCGAGCAGCTACTTTAGCACGGTCTTCAGCAAGTGAAGCTTCATAAGCTAGATCCTGTTCACGTCTCAATTGTGCGTTTATCTCTCGTTCATTTCTGAATACAAAGAATATAAAATACTAAGGTGAATAATAATTATAATAACACTGGATTTCTAATGGATGAACCTATCATACATGACTTTTATCTAATGGATTGGTCTTGTGAATGCGACATTACGTTTTGTTAACAAACTATCAGTGGAACAGTATTGTATGTTATATACCCTTGATTCTGTCTGACTTTTTCTTGATACTTATCTATAACTTACCCTAACTTTATTATTGCTGTTTTCACGCCCTCTTGGTGCCATTGCTAGCTTTTGTTTTCCCACTGCTTCTGAAGGCTGAACTCTCACTGGTTGTTAAATCTTTTAACTTATCAGTGAAGTTAGCGTTTTTCAAGGTCATTTAGAATGTATTTATTCGGTTTCGTTCTCAACTGTTTTGACTGTTGCTGAGAAGATAAAAGTTCTCTGTCAAAGGTCCATCTTCTCTTAGAGATTCTTTTGTGCGTTAAGGTTCGTATCGCTCGGAGATTGCTAGGTCGCATTACCGTCTCAATAGAGACTGACTAACTCAGTCCGGTTAAATAATCAACAAGAAACCATAAGTATTAATAAATAACACTCACATTACTCTGCTGTTCTGTCGTCTATGTTTATAATACTACGCTATGAAGTTATGTCATGAGACAGCTTACAATAAAAGTATGTGACCCTTGATCAATCCAAATGGCGCTTGGATATAAGTGCATACAAATGATAATAAAATGAACAAAATTCCAATAAATATTATAATTTATCATCAGACTAAAACATGACATCACTGTATGAAGTTCTTGACCGTTCGTTTGAACCATGTACGGCGGTGCAGATCAGCCGGTTGGGGTTCACAGGACAAGAGAAACCGGTGGTTGGAGACTCTAAGTGATATGGTTCAGTGGTGCAGATGCATACGTAAATTATCCTCATCTTAAGTCCTATACTTATTCTCATCATCTCATTTTCCCTTCTCTTCTACTACTATTACTTCCTTTGACCGATTTTTCTTTCCTTCTTTATCTTCCATGTTATTAATTTTTTACTTGATGTGCTGATATGATGTGGGGCAACTTGAAACGTCACGCAGTAATATACGGTCCTATGTTGATCTTGATGATGAATTCATTATCATTATGTCAGTACTACTATTTTTCCGACTGATATATATGTAGTGAGAAGGTAGTTAAAAAAAGATGCATGATTCCAACTAGTGTTTATCACTGACATAGTAGGACTTCACCAAAGACAACAAAATAACTATTGATGAGATAAGCTTCGCTGCTGAACCGAACTCATTATAAAGGGATGATAACAGATTTTTGAGGTGGACCTAGGTTATAGTTAGATTCGAACTAATAGTTTTTTGATGACAAACCCGTAGCAACCAATCACGACTAAGGCTAATCAAGAAATCCTTGGTTATCAGTGTCCATTCTTGAATTGGCATTATACTGAATCAAAAACATGTGACATCATATTAATCAAAAACGCATCATTGAATAACAGGAAAACAAAAACTGAGTAAGTAACCATTTACACATTATTTATATTTATTATTTGTTCTTGGGTTCCTAGTGGAACATAGGGCTTCAGTAGTATGACGACATTTCACTATGTTCTCTTCAGTCTTTTTAACCTGCCTCAACGACTGCACACAAGCTTTCATTTCTTCTTCACACGATCTCCTCCATGTCACCCTCGCCTCGGACACCCAACTCGTCGTTTCCCATTTGGCTCCCCACTCGAGGGTCTTGCCTGGCGCGTGATGTTCTTAAATGGTCTTCTCAGTGTGAGTCCAACCCAATCCAATCCATCTTCACTTTCTTCTGCATATTTGTTGGGCGACAGTTTCTTGGTTGGTTCGTTGCCAGCCAGAGTGAGTTCCTTGTTGCTTATTCCTATTATTCTGGCCACCTGATCTTCAGTATTGAGCGCAGGCGGTAGCTGTTGATGTATGTCTGTAGTTTGTTGGAAATGCTTTTCGCAACGCACCAAGTCTCTCAACCATATAGAAGAACTGACTTGACTGAATTAGTGTTGAAAATTCCAATGTTGTTCTTTGTGCTCAGTTGAGTGCAGTGCACATCTCCACACTGATTTCAGGTTAATGAAGGCCCTGTCTTGCTCTTCCGATCCTGACTTTGACATCCTCATCTGTGGGGCCGCCTGTAGTTGGAACGATGCTGCCCAGCCCAAACAGGTGAGAGATATAACTTCCTTTAGATTTCTTCCGTCAATGGTGATTGGTGCTTGTTGTTGTTGGTTGTGTATCTTCACCACCTCTGTCTCCTCTACGTTCACCTGGAGGAGGTTCTGTCTTCGCTGCCTCGCCTCTTTTGCCAACTTGTTAGTTTTCGCATGTAGATCTTCGAGCTTGTGCAACATTAGACATAAATCATGATCGGCGAAATCGAAGTCTTCTAGGCTCTTTTCATCGATCAAACAGCGTATACCCATCTTCTCGCTCCTCACGGTTTGTTGCATGATCCAGTCCAGTCCAGTCGACCACAATCAGGAAGATCACCGGTGATAGTAGGCAACCTTGTCTTATTTCTGTCTTCACTTCAAAGGCATCAGTGAGCTTTCCATTGTGAATCACTTAGCATATAGCGTCATCATATAGCTATTAAATGAGGTTGATAAAGGTTTGTGGCACTCCGTAGTGTTGAAGCATTTGCCTGTCAAATTACTGCTTGGCCGACGCTGTCGAAGGCCTTTTCAAAATCGACGAAGTTGAGGTAAAGAGTTGACTGTTATTAACTAATGTCTATCAAAGAGAACTGCATGATAGTTTATTGCAAAACTCGGAAACACCTGTAAATTTTAAGATAGTTCTTTTAAACATATGCAAAAATTAAGCTGCTTTACAACCATTAAAGAATAGCAACATTTGTAAGTGTAAATTTGCTCAGTGTATATGTAACAAATAACTTAAAAGTAGACAGTTGTACAAGGTAATCTTGCTATAGAATATTCCAAGTAATCAGAATGAATTATAAACTATTTTAATCTTATGAAGAAGTAACAAGAGTGAAAGAAAACAGTGTCCAATCCTTTATCGGATTTTAGTAGCTTCAACTGATTACAAAAAAACTCAGTGATATATGAACTTCAACAGAGGCACACACAAACATGTACAACTGATACCAACATCAACGCACATACACTGTGGGGATGCGTATCCACTGTGAATCAACTCATCTGCTATAATTCGTTGACAATTAATAAACATTATGTTACGTATGTAAAACATTTAGAAGAATTACATATATTCAAACAAACTACGCTAGTTACCCAGATAAGCAAATTCTTTAATTCTAATTGAGATACAAAAGGTTTGTATAGCTGTAGAAAATATATTTACTCGTAGATGGCATCATTTAAGTCTCATACATCTTATTAGACTTCATTTATTTGCTGTTTTGCTCTACATTTTCGTTTGTTCCAATACCTTTTTTCGACTTTCATCAATTTTTTTTGCTGCAATATATGATAATTGGAACTAATTTACGATTATATTAGGTTCTGAGATGTACTGCTCACCTTCAAATTACTAATCAAACACTTTACTCTTTCGATAATCCGTAGATAAATTTTTCTGATGTGTCGAAGAGGACGAAACCAATACATATATTTTTCAGCTGATTATATATGACGTACCTCTCCAAGTTGCCGCTAACGACTACTATAATGAGACAAAGGAGAGTAGCGTCCATTAAGTTGTGTGTAGCTCTAGTAACTTTTGTGTATGGTTTATAACCATTCAATGAGTTTTATTCTAAATATGTTTACCTTTTTTTGTCTTTGAATGACAAATGAACATAAAAATGACACGCTTCATATCTTCATAGGGAATATCAAAACTAATTTATTGATAGTCATTACGCAATAGCATGATGATTGTTGCAGTAACTAAGATCTCTAATATTTCATAAGCTAAGCGAAGAACAGAATCAAAATCATGATAACCTTTTACCGACGTCATCCTTCTTACTAAACTTACCGATCTAACCGAGCTGTAACGATGGCTGTCTGATGTTCATTCAGTATACTGTTTAACTGATTAACCAATTCTGAAGGTTCTAATGCACCTTCTATGCGTCCTAATAAAGCCATTCGGGTAGAACTTCCGGAATAAATTCCATTTTCTGAAACTAATAACAGATTAGAGAAAATAATGATAAAGCGTGAGCAAAATTATCTACAGTGCAACATAGGGAGTAGTATTGATTAATATATGTATCCACTATTGAATATGACCGTTCATAGTTACATTCTATATACAATTTCCTTTTACAGCTGAATACTACTACTACTACTACTTAAGATAACTGCGTAGACTATCTACCACATGACATTCATACTTTGACAAGGTCGGGGGCATTTGAAATGAGATTAATGGATCAATAAGTTCAGACGAGGTTTCTGAAACCTACTGGGCTGATTACTGACTTTCTGCATAATACTTCTTAAAGTCACCACCCCTTCAAAGTATGTAGGAATGAAATAATCACATAAAAAGACAGCAATAAAAGAAAATTGAAGTTCAGAAGAGATACATGCTAGAACAACCAAATTACACACAAACAATACTCAAGGAGATATTTCACGAGCTCTGCAGCCATACGAATTGTTTGCTCTTCCAGGTACCCTGAAGAAACTACTTTCAGGGTATGGCCAGTCAGGGAGTGTCAACCGCCTACACGCTTCTAGTAGCATGTAAGATACAATCAAACAACATATCCTCCTTACCTCTTTTTTCTCGTTTGCCGTCAATTTTTGAAACCAATGTCAAACCTATTACAACTTCTTCAACCTATCACTCTGAGACCATAATCAACAATCCCTGCCATTGGAACACTATTCCTAGTTTCCTCAGACTCCGTTGTGACTTCCACACTGAAGCTTCCAACAGAAATCAAGAATCTCGAGCCGTCGATGTATGTTGTGTTTCTGAGACACGCATACAGGACCCGAGTGTGGTTATTAAACTGACCCCGCCTTTGCGGCGAATCCGGAGATCCAGTAGCTAGCTCTCCTGGAGTCACTGGCGCACGCATAGCATTGAGGTGTAAGGCAGAAAATGCGCATCTCTACTGGATAACAGTCAAGAGCCATCTATGTGCTTTTCGACTTAGTGGATCTGTAAGAAACAAGAAAAATTGTATGACCAACCGACGTCTATTCGCAGTCTCTGCCTAGGTACTACGTGCAAACAGACTGTAGTTCGGATGATGCAAAGGATGAATTCTATGAAAAGCTGTCAGTTTGGCTACAGAAGGCAAAACGTTCGGATATAGTCATAATAGCAGGTGACATTAACGTTCAAGTAGGAAACCTGAGTCAATCTGAAAGCCATTTTAGGGGTAGCTACAGTGTCTCATGCCAACGAACCGACAACGGTGGTCATCTCTTGCAATTTTATCCTGATAATCACTTGTTTCTGGGCATCACTAACTTCAAGCATAAGAAGAGACTGCTTCATTTGGCATCCGCCAACATGAAAATTACCATAGAAACAAGTAGACCAAGTTGCTATAAGCCATCGATGAAGAGGATCAATCGAGGATTGCTGCTCTTTCTGGAGGACCTATTTGGACTCCGACCACGTGTTAGTATTGGTACATGTATTTCTGCTCTTTACAAGTAACAGGGACGAAGGGCAGTAAAGTCTGCATGTGGGCGACTGGGAGATGAGAACGTCAAGTACGTATTTAGGGTGGAGGTAGCTAAGCATTTGTCTGAAAGCGAAAGCAGTCCTCATCCCGACGGAGCTTAAGGTGAAATTCGGTAAAGATAGTTACAAAGAAAGCTGGTAACCGGCGTTAAAAGGGTAGCATACGTCACTGGATTTCCGAAACTTCATCCGGACTGATTGATGTGAGAAGACACATTCCAGCTGGCTCGGACTCGACTCTGTCGACCGTGAGGTGGTGTCTGCCTGTGAAGAGTACCAAGTGAGTATGTACTAGAAATTAAAATTCTTCACTCGAACTCACACGCTCGTATAAAGACTGACGAAAAGTTTCCATCAGAACTAACGAAAACTAGCGGTGTCTGTCAGGGATGCCCACCGTCACCATTACCGTTCAAATTCGTCCTACATATACTAATGGACATAACCTTAGTGACATCTGACTTCACAGGGATTGATCTACTCACTGGAGGTCATCTAGTTTACTTGCAGTATGCAGACAACACTGTTCTACCAGGTGAAGACATTGACAAAACGCAAGATCTTCTAAAAGCATTGAGCACAATTGTGAATATGTTTGGCACGTGTTTCGCATCTGCAAAATATAAGATGATGCTCTACGACTCGTCTTCAACCACTCCCAATTCAATGATAGGCAGTGAGGTGGTTGAATGCGTCGACCACTTCACTTACTTGGGAAACTGCGTCAACTCCAACGGACTGGTTGCTGACAAAATCCCACCTCAGATACAGAAGGCCCGTTCGTCATTTGTCGACCTGCGTCATCTCTGGTGCCGGTTGTGTTCACTATCTATATCAAAGAACGAGTGTATTGCGCTGCAGTTTGTTTCGTCCTCTTTTATGCTGTCAGACATCGCCGCTAAAAGTAAAAAATATGAGGCGGTTACAAGTGTCTTTGTAGCATTGCTCTTGCCTGGTGGAACCACTGTGTGAGTAGTGTTAAAGTTGGGCGAAGGGTACTAGGCAAGTTAGTCGATGAGATGATGAACCTTCATCGACTGACGTAGCTTGGACATGTACTGAACATGCCAAGTCACCATCTACCTCGACGTACAACGTTAGCAGGTTAAAAGAGGGTTTACGGTGGCCAGACGAAGATATGGCACCAGTCCATGAAGTCCGTGACTGTTGGTTTGAGTCGTACGGGGAGGTGGGGTCCCTGAAACGATAGAAACCAGTGGTTGAGGACTCTGATTATTACCTTCGGAAACAAAAAACTTACTCAATTAGAGTGAGGGATTCCTAAACCTTCTCGCTTGGGTGCACCTAGGTGCCGAATATAAATTTTCGGCACCCAAATAATTATAAGAATCCTGATCATAGTGAAGGAGTGAATTGTATATTTCTAGTACAAACAATGAACATCTACATAGGACCAGACATTACTCCACAATGGTCCATACCTCATGTCAGCACAACAAGTAACAGAGCAGCAAGCTGAAATATGAAGAGAGGGAGAAAAATCGGTCAAAAGCAGTAGAAAGTGGTAAAAGAGAAGAAGGAGGAATGGGGAAATGCTGGATTCACCACATCGGTTATGATAAAGTGTGGATAAATCAGCAACACGGATATTGATCCTGAGCAATATCTCCTAGTCTCCAACCACTGGTTTCTCTTGTCCTGTGGACCCCAACCAACTAGTCTGAATTCTCCAACATGGCTGAAACGAACAGTCAAGGACTTCATGTAGTGTTGCTATGTTTTAGTCTGACCTCCCCCGAGCCTTTTACCAGCCTGAACACACCTCAGCCAACATTGCGTGATGAGGCAGACAGTGACTAGGGATGCGTAACATATGTACCAGCTATCTCAGTCGATGAAGTTTCACAACGGCGCCAACTGATTTACCTCTCCTCCTTAAAACTCTACACTTGACTTTCGCGTTACTCACGTGATAACATCACGATAATATTTTTGGCGTGTTTCAAGAGGAAAAACTGTATTTGTACACTAGCTTTGAGACACTATTACTTAGAGTGCAATATTTGTAGTTATACTTTAACTGGTTAATTCTCCAGGGGAAGACGGCTGTATAGGGAAAAGAAGATCGAAATATTTGTTGAAGGTATTCACGCATCAAAAAAATACAAAATCAAGATAAGCGGTGGATGAAGCTCCGGAACTGTAATCGAATTTTAGTAAAGTTAACTAAAGTTACTCGTCACAAATTCGTACTATTTGGCAGAACAAAACACGGAAGCTAACACCTGCTAACCAGATATTAATAAAAGGACAACTTTATCGACGTATGCTACGTCTTAGTTAAACACATTGGAAGCATTTCCAATCGTCATTCCATCCAATACATCAAGGAGAAAACTAGTCAAAGCTTTATACAATCTCTTCACATTCATCTTGGCAATTAAAGGTTTTTTATCTTACACCACTACTGCTTATTATCATTTCCCACTAACATTTTGTCACACTTACTTCATGTTGTTAAGATAAAAATTCAACATAAACTTAATGACAAGTGCAGAAATTAATCAGTAACAAACGTTTAAGGTTCATCAAGTATTTCAGGTATAAATGAGAATTACTTACTTGGTATATTGGTCAAACCAATAACTCCAATAAACGGATAGGTATGCTCTCGAAGAGTTCGTGATACACGATATCCCTCAGGAGATTCAATATTACAACCCCAAAATAAAAGTTCATCTGAGTTCCTAAGAAACCGTAAAACATCTTCAGACTGCAAAGTTTCCCTGGGAAAAAAGCACCGTTAAGTAATTAAAATCCATTAGTAAATTCACGATGCACACTCAAAACTAACAGAAAACAGAAGCAGTAATGTGAAAGAAGATTTAAGTGATATGATTCTTTATCGATGGTCACAATCCTAAAGTAGTGTCGATGGATATTAAGATTAACTTCATTATCATTAGTGTAGAGTTTTAGGCAGGAGAGGTGATTCAGTTGATGCTGCTGTGAACCTTTATCAATTGGGATGGGTGGGACATATGTTGCCTAGCTACCGTCTGCCTCGTCACAATGTTGGCCGAAGTAGGTTCACGCCGGAAAAAGGCTCGAGGTGGCCAGACTAAAACATGGCATTGATATATGAAGTCTTTGACTGTTCATTTGAGCCATGTGGGGCGATGCAGACTAGTTGGTTGGGGTTCGTTGGATAAGAGGAACCAGTGGTTGAAGACTAGATGATATGGCTCAGAATCAATGTCAGTGGTGCAGATGCATACATAAATTATTCTGACATCAACGGCTATACTTAATCTCATTATCTTCTCATTCTTCCTTCTATTTTACTACTCCTTACTTTTACGTCCTTTGACCAATTTTCCTTTCCTTCTTCATCCTCCATTTTATTGCTTTGCTACTTGGTATGCTGATATAATGTGTGGCAACTTGGACCGTCACGCAGTAATGCCTGGTCCTATGTTGATCATGACGATGAGTAATTTTTGTACAAGATACACAGAGAACTAACGTGTACAGTGGAGTGTGTATTTAATTTTTTTAAGACCCTACCACTTCTTACCATACCTTTGAACAATGAGAAAAATCAAACCAAAGGATTTAATGAAAGGTTGGTGATATGACATGACAAGAAGGAATATTTTACCACCTCATGTTGCTGCATAGGATTGTTTGCGTACCCTAAAACACCAGGTAGGGAACTTTTGGGTTGTGTACTGTATACTGTAATGCAGTCGATGAAGTTACCTACCTAAGCTAGTTGAGGTGATTTAGGTCATCCTTTATTCATTTCAAGTCAATAATTACCACGACATATAACTCCAAGGGTTGTATGAGAATGGAGTGTTGTCCATTCAAGATATAGTAACTTTACATGAAGTTACTCAAGGCTGAACCTTAACCTTCAGTTCAAGCAATAGATTTTAAATAGACTGGGCGACTGCATAACTATTATTTCGTCAGTAGCATTCAAAGTGAAAGCTTAGTAAAATAAACCAAACCTGAACGTGGATTCAGAGATGATTTCAAACTGCACACAGTGGTTACCAAGCGACAGCCAGACAATCATATATTCAAACTTATACAAATATGCATGCCAAGAGATAAGAAGTAAATAATAAATAAATAAGGAAAACTACTTAAAAATACATGAGGGAATTTACTTGCAAAACCGATGAGTATCTTCATGTGAATCTCCATGAAGATAAACAATCAGAAATCGTAAACTTCTTTTGGCTTCCTGGACAGCATCTGCATAAGACCCTTCATAGAAAGGCGGAAATGTACTGGATGTAGAATTTTCAGTTGAACCTAAATTATCTTCGCTGGAAGAATACGTGTTCATAGATCCATAAGTTGCCTTGAAATGTTGAATAAATTTTCTTACATCTCCTAAAGGATCAGTGACTTCTGTGCAAATAATCAATAAGATAAATATGACAATATCATAGTGAATTAATAGAACAATCTGTCAGCGAACGAAAATTCTGACTCATTCAAAAAACAATAAATCTATAAGTTAACGAGTACTATAGACATGAGGATTGTGTTAGCACCACCCTAAGATAATGTCATCACCACTGGCCTGTTATTTTTTTCGGTTTAATGGCAGTTAGGTACATATGACGATAAATTAACACACGACATATAGTAATATAAGCGATCATTTCATAAAGCCATATACTTATTCCTAACCAAAAAGAATAAGAGCCACAATCAGTAAACTATGAATGTCCTCCATGAGTCTTTTTTCTCATTTTTTGGCATTCATATTGGGTCACCTACGCCTGAAGGCACTGTACATTTCCCGTATATTTTGCTAAATACAAATAATTGTGTATTATGTAGGTTGAGAACCTAACTTCATTTTCTCTCTGAAGCGGCTGGTGTGACGGCTGGCGGCTTCAGGATCAACTTGTACATAGTAACTCGCGGAATAACAATAGTTGGGACCAGCGTGGGGTATCTCCCTCAATTTGTTAACTCAGAGATATAACACCAGCTTTTTGTATTACACCGTGTAACAGTGCAGACTAGTGGCTGATATTTTTTTCCTAATAACCCATAACACCTGTGAATTTGAGCATTTCCCACTACATCTTAATAACAGAATAGTCAGTATTATAGATAAGAAACAAAAAAGGAGAACAAAGAAAGTACATCAGTTTGCTGCCATGTTGATTCTATCCATACTTTGAATAAGATTTGGAAGACATCAGGATCCATAAGTATTACCTTTACGCAAGTGGATTAGTTATCGTTACAAGAGAACAATCAAATAATAAATAGATAGGCTTTTCCAGACCTCCGTAGGTGGGTCGGTGTTCGAAACCGTGGTCCATTGGTTGAAATTCAACTGCTTAAACGAATGAGCTACAGCTCGGTACATCGAATCCAAATTAACGGCTACTTATAGTTTTGCATATTAAATCAACAACAATAACTCCCGGAACGAATAAAAGTGAAAAGATGAAGAAATGAAGTCATCTTAATTATCGTATTCAGATCGTTTAACACTAACTATATAAAAAAGAATACGGTTAGGCAGTAAGCGTAGGTTAGCGAATAAGTTTAGGACTATGTGCTAGACTAAGTATTATGTCGATTGCATAAATGTGAAAAATGCTAAACGGATGCTGAAATTAAGTTAGGTAAATGGATATTCGAATCCATTGGCATACATGACAGTTAGCGCATATAAAGTACAATTTATAGTTATGTTAGAAGATAAATGAATAAAATATCTAAAGAACCTCGAAACAGTCACATTATCTAGTCGCCTAGTAACACATGTTCATCGAATATTGCACTACGGGAGCCATCTCTTGTTATACTACTCACAGTACAAGTAGATAGCAAAAAGTAGAAGTTCTAGGAGATTACAACATTAGTTTAATGGTAGAAGCGAATCACTGGTGAATCGTTAATTATTGTAAGAACACCCAGAAAAAGAAACACAGACTGTTCACCAACTATCCCAAACATATGAGAGGAGATTACTACACCTTCAATACATGGAAGTGAAAAGTAGCATTAGGACAATAACAATCAGGCTTTACGGTGGAGTAACTACCATGGTCTGATAGCAGACATGAAGGATTCCAAAGAACTTATTAATATGGAGTACAGAGTGATCGACCCAATAAAAAGTAAACAAGTAGAAAGTAAAGAAACAGATGGATCGTAGAGTTCTAGTCAGGTCGTTTTGAAGATTTAACTTTTACCAGTCCAGTCATACAACAGAAACCTCACGTCACTTGTCCAAAATTAGGTTGGCTAAGTGGTGTTCTTGGTCATCATCGACCTTTTGTATGTAAATACAGTATGTTATTGAGTTGCACAATATCGATATATAGTACGGTTACGCTTTTCAGTCATCAAAAAACACTTTGGAATGATCAGACACTTGAGAATCTAATTCAAACACGAAAACCCCTCATCTAATCTTCACGTTTTTTTATATATACAGGGCTACCTCAAAATAAAACGTAGTTAGCTAAGCTGCTGAACAGAAAAACTGAACAAATAGTAAATATTACTGTATTCTGATTGGTTCTCAATTATACCTTGATAAGTAGACTTAGTAACTAATATATATATATATATATATATATATATATATATATATATATATATATATATATATATATATATATATATATAAGCTGAAAAAGAAGTATCACTCAATAGAAATTAAGAAATGCAAATATGAGGTATATTTATGAGTAGGTTTGGGGAACTCACGACTCCGGGGATCGGACCAAAGGAAAGAAGCTAGATAGAGAAAATAAACGAAGAACAGGTAAATACATACAAAATATAGAAATACAGATTTGAAGAAAAACCTTTCATCGTGCATCAAACAAACTTCATATTACTGGGTAATTCTTTCTCCCTCTTAAATACGCAACGTACATTTGAACATAAGACAGTTTGCTGAAAACTACATCGCGTAGATAGTTCTGTGTACATCGCCTTTCTGCACAGACAAATAAATGACTTTTACATGAAGTGATCAATAATTAACAATATTAAATTATTATAAATAATAATTATCAAAATAATATACATATTAAATAATTTTCCATCTCGTTAAAACAATCAGTTTCATTTATTTTCGCATGCCTAGTAAAATTAAAACAATAATGCTTACTCAAGTCATACAAAGATGAAGGCGATATGAATTGGGAAGCACATAAACCTCAACACATGACTAAGTATAACCAAATGATTTACAAAATCAATAAGTAAAACCATAGACCAAAGGGTATTACTAAAAATGAATGTGGATCATGGAGGTAATTGCCATCAACCTGACCACAGTCTTACGTCATTCTATATAATTTACATCGAAAAGGAAACACCTTAGGGCTTGTTACAGAAACTCAGACTATTCAGTTAAAATCTTCCTTTATTGACTCGAGTAGATGCAACTCATGCTCTGATATCATCTCTGTATATACACCAGCAAACGTGTGTCATTCATCTGCAGAAACCATGACTTGCAAACAAAAACCATTAACCCAATCAATACACACTTATGTACCTACCTGTTAATTAGTAAAGCAGAAAGACTGATCGAAGTAGAATCCAATAGAATCATCTATTACAAGAATTCACTGTAGCTGCTTAAAAACTAAAAAAATCTATACGGCAAAGACATATGATTTTGTTAGGCTGATAAGAAAGTATGGATTGAAAGAAACATAACCGATGTAAGGTGATCAAAACTAGCGGAATCAGTTGTTAAGATAGTTTATTAGGTTGGGGTCCGCGGGACAAGACGTACCAGTGGCTGGAGACTCAAGGTGATATGGCTCAGAATTGAAGTCAGTGGCGCACATGTATACACACATTATCCTTATCTTAACGCTATACCGAATCTCACCATTTTCTTATTCTTCCTTTCTCTTCTTTCGTACCTTATATTTCTTTTGACTGGGTTTTCTTTTCTTCATCTTCCACTTCACTACCTTTTTACTTGATGTACTGATATGAGGTGTGGCAACTCGAACAGCTACGCAGTAATGTCTGGTCCTATGTCGATGATGATCATCATCATTAGGTTGCGTATTTATATGGTGATTGAATTAATACTCCAGAGACAAGAAACGAAGTTGAAGAAAATGTGATAACGCAACAAAGCAACATTATAAATTGAAACAACATACCACTTCAGGTTACTGCATTACAGTATCAGAATTTAAAAATAGATGGTGATCTAAACGATACGAAAATCACATTTAAAAAGTTGTTCTGTAACGACTTTAATAAGGTTTCTGCAGATGATGTTCGACCAAAAAATTATTCTACAGTATTTATACGTGACTCCGTTTATAGCCTTTTTCCTGAATCACTCATTCATTAGTGTACGAATACGTAGAGATTACTCCCGTTGAGTCGAAACAAGCCATTGTTTTTGCCGACAAAATATCTTGTTTCGCTTCTTAAACTATTTTACCTTGCAAATCTGTAACTTATAGATATTTAATTGAACCAGATTACCAATTCTTACAAAAATAGTTTTGTCTTTCGTTAATCACAGGCTGAGATGGAGAAATCGGTGACGGTGTGGAATGTGTACAGCATAATTAAGAATTTTATATGAAGTTAGTCACGTATTCAGATGAGACTTTCAGAGAAAATACAACCATATGACTTTTTTTCGTAAAACTTTAACCGCGTTCCTCGGGTTTTGAAGTTATTCTTCAGGGTGAACAAGAGCACCAATGCTAATCTCCCTTTTCTTTTTGGGGGATACTTGGACGAAAAGTAACCTAAGTGTAGGCAAGAAATAATGTCAATTACCCATATGCCTTCAGAAGCATTAGAGTTTTCCTAAGTTGATCAGTGATCCAAATTCACACGTTTTAAATCATTTACACCCTTCCCCAATACCAATTTCTCAATGCTACTTTCAGTCCTAATCGGATATTCATCTGGCACAAGAAAGTCCAAACAACGGATTGAAATCTTTTATTCTGTTGAACCTAAGCCACACTTGATAATTATTCCAGAAACCATCACAGTGAAAATATGACTATTGCATTTTTATCCAAGTCTAAAACTTACCTGGTTCAACAAGCTTGGTTTTCATGAGGCCAAGCTGAGAATCGAATAACTGTATTCACAAACCTTAGGTGGTACGTTAGTAATAGTAGTTTCCACGTGGTTATCAAAGGAATATTTCTGTAGTCCGTTGAACAGTAACATTATCAACAATCTAAATTATTTGTTGGGACCATCTTACATTCCCTTCCTCCAGGTAGCATACCAATTATTCTAACCAGTGAATGAGCTTCATTCTTTCAAACTTACGGATGCAAGCTATCAGGTTCAGCTAACTTGCGTGATTCCATCTTTGGAACAGTCTTTCCAACTTCGATGACAGTTGAATAACTGGCCTTGCATTCAGTTAAAGTTACGGCTCGATGTTGGATAAGTGGAACCAAGCCAAAAGCCAGTTGAACTGTCTAAAGTGTTCTACTCAACCTTCTAGTTGCCTCTTTAAGGAGGTCACAGAAAATTCCTTTATGTGACAGTGATAGTCGCATTAAATGAACTTTAGCATCCAAAAGAATGAGGAATAAATTACACCAAAACTATCTTAACACTGCTGTAACTTTGTGTCCGGTGATATATTTCAGTGTTCTACTCAACTGAGCTCTTCGGAGTTCTAAATAAAATCATTAACTCCACCAGATGTATACTTACCTACGCAAAATGCCAGCCACACATTTAACGGGAAACACCACTTGACTCTGTCAAAGGCAATATTGCGTAGTACTCCGTTTCCTTCATGGGATGAGGTTCCGAGTAAGGATATGATAACACCAGTTTGTTTACATGCAGCAATTATCCAGTTAGGCCTAGTAGTGAGGTATCTTTAGAGGTGGCCACGTGAACTGAAACTACCCTAGTTTTGATCAGACTAGCTCTTTGACAAATAACATTTTTGGAAAATTTAGCGAAGATAGGTCTCTTTTCAGGAGACAACTCATTAAACCTGGGCTAGATGGCTACTTTTTTAAACGTGTGAGATGCTGATGAATAGTACTCTGACCACGAAACAAGAAATTTAGTGAAGAAATATTTCTGACTGGTTGACTCCTCACGATCAGCTTCACGTTAATAAATAGGTTTTCATCAATAAAATGTATAAAAACCAAAATGTTGATAACGGTTTAGATACAACGAGGGTGATAATCAGACGTGGGAGTCAGGACAATATTTAAGAAAACACAATAGATGTGGATGGTAAAATTGTGTAAATTAAAGCAGATTGTTAGTCGATTGATAAACTGAGTAGTTATGATGAGTACGTTAGGTGGTAAATTGTTAACACTGGTTAAGTAAGAAGAGCAAAAGACAAGAAAATCGTAAGGTAGGCAGGGGAAAGGACCACTTTTACACAGCTTATGAAAGTGAAATTAGACTATGTAGCTGGCAAGAGTAAATAAAAACTGTGCAAATGTCTTTTCAACACAGGTTAAGCTTGTTCCGATGCTCTTAATAGCTTCCGCTGTATACAAGAAAAACGAATTCGTACACCATCCATTAGCCTTATATCACATTTCCCATCCACTTGTTTTTTGCATGCTGCTATAAAAAGTGGCTACTAGAACCAATGCATTTCTGTGTGAAGTTCTACGTTGATTTTGTCGGTCTGTCTATCCTAAAGGTACAAATCAAGTCAGCCTATGGAAACAGTGATGTGAAAATCCATCACTCAATTAACTCTTGAAAGTAGGTCTAGTTGTACTCTAATTGAACTGGTAAACGTTGTAATCAGTCACATTTGAAACGAACTGTCCAGATTCAGGAATTTCGTCTTTCATAATCATCAAGAATTGTCAGTAAAACTCCAAAGATTTGATGTGTATTTGTAAGACAGCTAATAGTCGAGAATTTGGCAACCCTACGAACAAATTTTCCATACTTATCCAAGTAGCATGAACTTTAAAGTAAGGTATAAAAGATGTGACATGTAGACCAAAACAGTGCTCTTACTGCGCATGGTATGAACAGCAAGCACCGTGGTTAACGTATTAGCGAACGATCCGGAGAAATCAGTACGAGAAGAATAAAGTCGTTGGCAAAAATGAAGAGGAACAGAAAGCAAAATAACTAGATGCAACAAGTTTTTTCCGCAATGGGAGACATCACTTTTAAACTCGATCTTACCTATGTGAGGATCCTATTGACCCTGATACTCCCTTACTCGTAAGTAGTGATCCCATTGTAACGCCGATCAGACTAAAATTTGGTGTCATTCCATGAAAACTGCGTCGGTTTGATTCATGCAGGAAAATGTACACTTCCCGACTGAGGTTCACATGATAACTAAAATAAGGCTTAGGATTAATCTGTGGTACAAATGAATCTACAAACTATTTTTATTCAAACCATCATACCGCATTTTAGTATTCTTTTACCCCTCTTCCTCTTTTTCTGTGACTTTCGATCACTAGTTCTATTCCTCTACCTTCTGAGTTGCTGCTATGTATCTTAGTGTGCCAATGAAAGTGGTGGTAAATTGGAATATTAGGCAGTAATGCCAGGTTTCATTTCGACATTTCACTGGAAACTGACTGGTGCGCAAGAGTGGATTTTAATGTACTTAGCTTGACTGCACACTGGACTGTTGTCAAACTGGCTATTTTAGAATTAGACTTTGATACGACCGACCCACTATGATAGTCTGTTGCCTCTTCACGGCGCAAACTGAATGAAATTGAAAGACTGAATTGCAAGCTCACTGACCGTATGTGTTTCAAACAATATCCAGACTCAATAATCAGACATGAACCAAATATTAGAAAATCAAGAAATCAAATTATCAACAAAAGTGGGAATTAAGTAAAATAGTTATCATCTAACGTTAAAATGAAGAACTACCAGCCAAAAATAATGCATGAATGTTAGCAGCCGGTCAGTTGATCTCTACTAGTAAAAGACGGTAATTCGATTCGTTCTAACGCAAGCCATTCCCACTTCTAGGTTTCGAACGTATGAATTCGGCTACGAGCTATCCTCAGGCCAAGTGAGTAGCGCACAAATACAACAGCTATTAAGAACTGTGTGGCTAGAGATAGTTGAACTATTGGCAAACATATTTGCTTAGAAGATTTGGGATACACTTAGAGTTGTATATGAAAAGATAAAGATACTATTTACTTCATTGCCTACGCTAGTGACGCCTTTCTATAACCTTTCACGGTTTGATAAGTGAGCTCGAAGACTACCAAGATTGAAAAAGCGCCCAGGAGCATTTTTTTAAAACTCAGGTTCCAAGACTAATCACAGTGAATCTAGAGATTGGTCCAAAGTTTCGGGTGTAGGACTTCAAACAACATGTGGAAGATAACCCGTAAGTGGTTGTTAAAGCTATTTCAGAAGACTATCTTCGTTTATTAAAATGACTTAAACAGTGGATGGAGTTTTCTAGCACATTTAGAGGGACGGGGGCAGATGGCTTGCCAAGTTTGTCAGACTTCCGAGCCGATCGAGATAATGTACTTAAAATATATACTCAAATTGGATTGCTGATGGGTGCAGGGTGCTACGAAGTAGGTGGTCTCTTGTTTGCTCGATAGCCTTAAACCTAGAAAATCCCTGGATCCAGATAGCTTGCAGCAAACATTGGCATCTTCTCCAGCAGAAACTATTACTGGGCCTCTTACCAAGCTATTTAAAACGTTTTAGATTCACTTCCTCTGAAACCAAAACGATGCCATAGTCAGTCCAGTTCTTAAGGTAAGTAAGCGAAGTCAGGTGCTTATCAGGTTGTGAATCTACCTAGTTAGTTAGGTTACCGAAAGAAATTAAGATAAAGTACCCAGGTATATCAATATAAATCACCAGCGAAATGATTTTCAGGCTGCTTTTCAGAAAACTTTGTCGTGAGAGACGGATGAGAAGCAGTCCATAAAAGCAAACTGCTCGTTGACATCGTGTCCACAGGCTTTAGAAAAGTTTTTCCAACGTCTCGTGTTACCGAGGGAGCTTGCTAGTTTCGGATTTGATGACATCTTGCAGGTATGGACTATGGGCTTTCCATACAATAAAGGGAAAGTTAGAGCATAAACCTGTAAGTGGAGTACGTTCAGAAGCGATCTTAGGTTGTTTTTTTTTCCAGACTCAATAAATTACCAGAAACGCTTAAACCAATGTTATTAAACATTGGAGGATTATCCAGGACGACGTAAATAATTATACACTACAGGCAGAACTGAATGAGTTGATCCATTGGTATAAAAGACTATACTCAGAAACTGACCCCAGAAATAATGTAGTAATGCATATTAGGAAGCAAGTCTTATCAGCATATACTGAATGACATACCAGTGCGTCTAGTGTTATAATCGAAAGTCGCGGGGTAAATGGTAGGCCAAAACTAGACGTCCAAGCACTCCCATGCAGTTATATGAGAGGGCTTTTGCGTGCTACGACATATACATAGATCTTTCGAAGGCCTTGATGAGAATATGCTCAAGAAATTTTCTTACATTTAGTTTTTCACAATAAAACGGCTAGTACATGCTTTAAAAAAGACGCCAATGCACTTTTGTATGTTCGACAGATAGGTATTAAGCTTCTAGTTAATCCTATCACCTGTTCTATAGGAAGTGCTGAGGCTGACTTTTCTTTTTTGTCTAAACGTAGAAAAAGTTATAATCGAACACTAGTATTTCGTATTCTTGACGCTTTCAAGGCTAATATGTCTTATATTATCTCTCACAACAGGATGCTCTCTAACGCAACCAAAATGATATCCGAAGAACATGGTAGAGTCCAAAAAGTGTGAATTTGTATGTATTTCCCACAGAGTGGTCAACGACTGGAGCTGTTAACCCGATTGGATGGTACTACCATCAGACAATATGTGAACGCGTTGAGAAATCTGAGTATCTTTGGCATGCGTTTCGTTGGCATCTGTCAGTTGTAGAGTGATGCTCTACGACTCATCTTTAACCACTCCCAGTTCAATGCTAGACAGTGAAGTGGTTGAGTACGTCAACCACTTCACTTACTTGAGTTACGTCAGCCCCAACGGACCGGTTGCTGATAAAATCTTACCTCAGATACAAAAAGTTCGTTCGGCATTTGTCGACTTGCGTGCCGACAGCGGAGATATCAAACTATCTAACAAAAAACGAGTATATTGCGCTGCAGTCGGTTCTATCCTGTTATACGGCTGTGCGATATGGTCGTTAGAAATAGAAGACATGAGGCAATGTTGGGGTTATGACCATAGGTGTCTTCGAAACATTGCTCACATGTAGTAGAATCACAGTGTGAGCAATGCTGAAGCCAAGCGAAAGATACTAGGCGAGAAATGCAAGTCGATTGATGAGGTTGTGAACCAGTCAACTGAGATGGTTTGAATATGTACTGTGAATGTCGAGCCACCATCTATCTCAACGTGCCATGTTAGGAGAAGTTGAATTATGTTAGAAGAGGGTTCAGGGTGGCCAGAAGATGTGAAACCAGTAGACGAAGTCTCTGACGATTGGCCTGAACCACATGGGGAGATAGATTGCCTGGTTGGGGTCCCTGAAACGAAAGAAGTCAGCGGTTGATGACTCTTGGTGAGATGGTTGAAAATGGCACAGATGCATTCACACCCTGACATCTAAAGTCTGGATATTCTAACCTACCTTTATCTTCAGGTTGTTTATTCACTCACTTTATCTATTTTGATATCACTCCTCTTCTATTAACATGTTTTTTGTGTACTACTATGAAGTGTGGCAACTCGACCCGATGCACTTATGTGCGAGGTTTTACGTTAACTTTGTAAGTCAGTCAGTATGTGCAATTAAAAACTGAATCATAACCAGAAAAACCGCAAAAGTCAACACACGTGCGTTGGCTTTCTATCCTCATCTGTGAAGATGTTTGGTAGGACAGTATGATGGAAGTAAACTCTGCACAGGTGTTTATGCATTAATTTGAACCATACATTAACTTAGGGCTCAAGATACTATCTGGCTGTCTACATCAAATTAAATGGAACCGTATATTAGAATAGAAATGAACTATTGAACTCCGTATTTTGTAAAAAATTGCCTTACAACCCTATGAATGCAAGTGGTATCGGAAAAATAATAACTAGTACTTTCCACTCAGCAACTGAATTACCATGTGAATTCCACACAACGGAATGAAAAGTAAAATATTGAGAATAATACGTCCAGTTACAGGAATGTTACCATGTTTAAAAACCAAACATGTAACTCACAGTTTCTTAGCATTTATTAAAAATTGAGTAGTATTTTTTCAGTCAACAAGAATGAGATGTAAATATACAACTAACCAGTTTCACATATTATTGCGAACTCAAGTACAAAATCTTTCATACTCCGTGTGTGACTTACCGAAAAATCTCCAGATCCCAACAAAAAAGTTGTATCCGACTCTGATAGGTTCCAGTAAAAGCAAAGCTGTAGACCATAACCAACTATGAGCATTATCTCTAGCTCTTAATATCCGCTGATTCGGTGGAACTAATTCAACCTACAGAGTTTCTTCACAATATGTGAACACACCTGTGGCATAGACGTTGCATGTGGATTAACATCTCGATGTCTGACACTGGAGTCTTCAAATCCCATCAATTTATGTACAGCTCGCTGTAAATAACCACTTTCATTCATAACTTACTTCTAGATTCCAGGAGCTTTCCTCTAAAAGCTTCAGTGCATCCGTGTATCCTATTCCTCCTGCTATTTCCTGTAAGTGTTGAACATCTTGAGCTTCTGATTCTGACAGTACATGAGGTCCGTCCACTGTATCATCATCTGACATATCAGCGGTAGTCTTGTAACGCAGATGTTTAAGAACGACAGACAATATTACTCCATAGCTGTTCAACATCCAACAACAGCACGAATATAAGAAAATGGTAGGTTCTGAACTGGCTCATACAGTTCTTTCCACTTTTTCTGGTTGGTTTACTTAATTCTTGCAGTGGAGAGGAGAATCCTCTCTTGCTTTCCTACTCTTAGAGCTGGTTAGGTGAGTATTTTCCGTGGATTTGTGTTATCAGTTTGTGCATTCATCTGAGCAGGAAGCTCTGAGCTATGGGTAAATTTTGAGGTCTCTTTTTGGTTCCTGTTTCTCATTTTTTGAATGAGGACCTCAGATTAAGGTTAAAAATATATATGATAAAAGTATCAAGGATGATTTTCGTCTATCGGTAAGAACATAAGGCCGACAAATCAAAACAAGCAGGTAAGTTGTGGACGAAATACAACAGTGGGATACTGAAGAATTTCTGACGTTTGCAGTGCCCTAAGCATGTTAATTGTAAGCCACCTGGAGCAACATAAGCCCACCAAGGGTGTTGTAACTGCAGGATGATGTAAGGCATTCCATAGTCCTAAGCCACTAAGGCCATAGTGAAGAATTGTATGCATGATTAAAGACTAATAAACTTAATCCGGACATTTTTGAATACGTCTAGGAGAGGAGTAGCAACCGCTTGTTCATACAAATAATTCTTAGCATTGTCACTGTTACGTGTAGTCGCAGAACTTCTAGACATCCCCATGATTTCACATAATTTATCCCAAGAGGAAAATAAAAGTAGTTCTGTCATACCAAAAACGAATCTGAAAGGGTCGATTCAGACTACACTGAATAGTTCAGACACCGCCATGTTGATAGACTGAACAGATCATTCTTTGGGTTACATATCCGTACTGTTAGAAAGTGGTCTTTATACAAAAGAATCACATTTCTTGCCTTGGTTCCTATATAAACGAGACAGTAGGGGGATTTCTTGTCAGTTCTTGCTCCTTATCAATGCCGATGGTGCCCGATGCATGCAAGCACAATGAGAACGCCTCTGTTGACGTCCTGTTATGACAGATGGCTGCAAGTTGAGTTACAACTACCTTTTTGAAAGTACCAGGTTTAGTGGCTGTCAAACCTCCTGAGAAAGAGAATTTTAATTTTTTACCACTATCCATTTTTCATACATCTTCTTATCTTTCCCGCCACGTTCTGGCTGAAATGGGGTTTTCTATCAAGAATGTTGAGTTATAGATTGGCTCAAGGGGGACTATCATCAATTTACTGCATAACGATAAACCGACTCGTATAATACAATTTTTGACCGAGGATTACCTGAATAGGTCACTTTTACTGTAGGCTAGTCATTGGTCAGTACATTTTCTCTGAAACTCTACTGATATGGTTGCTTAGTATTTCGGTAAAAAACATAACATTCGAACAATACTTCAAACTCAGAAATATCAGTAACCCTTGTGGCTCTGTGAATTGTTGTGGAGTCGATGTCCTGAATTTTGGTTCATGGAAGCATGGGGTACATACTCATCTTCCACTCCAAGGTGAACGGAAGAAAACTGGGTTGAAGTTGATGCACTTCAGCCACCACTCAATATGGAAGGCATTGGCGCAAGAAGGTGCAGTTACTAATCATACCTAGGGGGCTACCCCAGCTTTATCCTGAGCCGCGTAACGACGGGTTTCGATAGGCTTGTCAATATACCCTACTGCATTCAGTTAAGGAAGCGGCGAGGATTATATGCGGCCACTTTGTTGATTGCTTCAGTGACAGTGGCTACAGGGAACTTGGAAAGGAAATTAAAAGTTTATTCTAAGTTCGGATCGCTGGTCTACCTTTCATTTTGGCTTCTCACCAAACGAACACAAAACCAGATTTCATAATCTTTGAACTGTCTGCTTCTTAGCTGGAACTACTGTTGCAAATAAACCCATTGAGTCGGACACTGAAGCTACCATGTACAACATGCCACGTCAAGTAACGGTTCATTCAGTTTCGTCAATCTTATGGCCATATTTGTCTTATCTTTCAAGAGCAGGCCTGGCATGCGGGCCTTATATACCCTTTCAGAGTCATTCCTTACACCCGCTGTGGCTTATTCATCCGGTAGCACTGACTAGATAGTTAGCGCTCAGTTTCTGTCCTATATTAGCGACCGAACGCTCTTCTTCCTAGACCGGACGTTAACCGCCTGAATAAAGAAGCCACACATGAAATGTTATCAGCAAAAATTTGGTAGTCACCTGCGCATGGGTTTTCTCCAACAACCTAGCTAGTTGCACTAGTTTCCCTGCTGCCATGAGTCTTAGCAGTGCCTTCGCGACAACATTTGGGAGAAGTTGGAACCCAGGCTGATCTAAATATGCTGACTGACAGCGTACCCTCGATAGCTTCTTGTTATTCATCGACACTTTCGTCGTGGAAGGTAAAAAGCTTCTCCACCTAGCTTTCAAATTTTCACCTAAAGAGGCGCCCCTTTTACGCCAGCCAGGACTGTGGCGTCCTTGATTAGAGGTTGCAAAAAGAACCTCTTGAGCTGTTGGTTACGCCCATTTCGGCGCTCGTCAGTCACAGAAACACTGCAGTATCCAACCGCGCGACTAATCACGATTGTGAACTTATCCAGCCACCTGAGACTTTCAGCCAGGTGATTTGGGACACGCCATTTCACCGTTTTATGACCTTAACGGAAACTACTTCAGCAACGTATCCCTCTACCAGACGTCTATTCATGAATTCTGTATGTTTTTTTTAATAGGTTGTCACCCTCTGCACGACACCTCGCTGAATATTCAGGCTTATGAAGTCCCCCATCATATTTAATTGGCAGTTTGGGTCGTAAAAAGTTGCACGTAAGATTTTTCCGTGGCAATTTCGGACCAATAAATAACTAATTTTTATTCTTTCTCGAACATGACGAACCATCGATGCCTCTAAGTGCAGTTGTATAACTTCCAAAGGCCATCTGACCCAATACTGATAAATGCGGCTTGACAACGAACAGTACATATGTTCATTACTTTCGAAATTTCAAGCGCTAAGCTGAAAATTCCGTTAGTGTTCCTACTATCAGTAGTTACCTTCCGCTTCCTAATTGCTATTCTATAGCGGAGTGTACATTTCACACACCATATGCAGTGGACATTCCATCCTAATCATCTTAGTGTTAATGATAACAGTAACAATAATAATTTATTCTTGCAAATTCAAGTACACACCACTTTACAGGCGTGATTGCATTCCCATGACAGTATGACACTTCTGGCTGGTACAGCTTCACTGGTCAAAGATAAGCAGCAGGTTTGCATAAGTAGAATTTGTGTACGAAACAGAACAAGATGGTAGACATCCAGGGTCTCTGCACCCATCAGTTTTTCACGGGGACGAATTTCGTTCTCACTTCCCAAAAGAAAGAAATTTAGGGCAATTGTTACGTGCCATGTTGAAATTAATTCACTTTGAATACAGAGAAATAACCACCTTCGGAAAACCTAGCGTTCCAGTGGGAGTTACCTAGCCAAAACAAACAGTTTTTGTACTGTACACCCCATCCATACTAAGCGAACTTAGATGCTGTACAGCAACGACTGTGAACTCGGTTCTGAACACTCGTGGTATGTGACCTTGATTCTTTTTCTGCGACATTTAGATATTTGACATTTATTGCTAGGATCAGGAGTGTCTCACTCATTATTCCAAAAACATGCATATATTAAACCTTTTAAAAGTCCCGCAGTCAAGCTTGAGCAAAACTGAACATATCCTGGTTAGTTAAAGCTGTTTCAAATAAATGTCAGATATACCAACATCTTCATGCTCATAAGTATAGGATGGTGCCGTTTGGCTTCCTGACTTTTACTCTCATAATCGGGTCGGGAATTTCGACTCCTAACCACATCACCTATTTTCAAATGAATATAACAAACGCAGCTCACAAATTTGTAATTTCTAACTTACGTCCTCTATTTGAAACTGCCAACATTCCCTAAGATTGTTTTGATGGTGCCAGTCGAGACTAGCCTCTGACCCGGACATATTTTCACTGCATTGAGTGTTAGATGGAGCTAAAACGCGGCCTTCTGGAAGTCTGACTTTTCAGTGGTTCTCTCTCGGTCTTTTTCTATGTTGACGACGCGCTAACGCCTTTTACCGTGTGCTGAAAACTGCAAATCCCTTTTTATCTTATTGGACCACGTTTTCAAAGTTAGGGTCTCCTGCAACGGTCAAAAGTTTACTGTCAATATTTGGCCATTTTCCTGGTGAATATACTGGGAGCCGATAATCTTTGGACTGTAGTTCAACTGACCAACTAAGTCCGATATGTGACATGTTTCAGACGTAGTTTTACGCACATTAGGAGGTTTTTGTGGGGAAATATGTCACGTCAGCAACAGAATATATTTTAAATGCAGAACGACTGATCAGATATTCTACAAGAGGGGACGGCATGTGTAAAAATGAATCGCGGAAACTGTTCCCGCTCCACAATACCTCAGTTCAATAGGCAATAGGCAAACTATGCGAACGGACTAACAACGTCGGTCGGTCACAACGCAAACTTTGAATACTGAGCGCTTTTGATATTGATAATGGAACCTATCTATGTGATGGAAGATGGCGATCCATATCCGTCTCATGAATTTCAGCGACTTTCAATAAGATTATGCACAATAATGACTTGATATGTAAATTATTTAATACTAGACACTTTCAGAAGTTATGAGTTTGACGGTGCGTGTTAACTGGCATCCCTCACGTTAAACCTGTTAAATGAAGATAACATTTACTATTATCTAAACTTTAACACTCTATGCAAGCTGTAAAGTAATATTTCCTCGTTCATTTCATAACTGGCAGGACCCTCGGCAGTTTTTAATTGAGTTTAATGACATTCCGTCAGTACCACTCAGGGCTCATGTCTTGTAGATATTTTGAGATGTATCAAAGTGATGAAGCCTGTAAACTGGCTTCTCTCATGTTAAAATCTTTTTTCAAA